CAAAAATCCTCCTCTTCGACTCGGATTTTTGTTGCCACCAGCACTCATGCTTTTTATTAAAATATTACTTAGCAACGTGTTTTTTCGATTCTTTTCGGAAAAATTAAATGCCCTTATGATATTACTTACGAAAAAATTTGGAGTTCTATTTGGTTATGGTAAAAGAAAACACGAAGAAGGCTTATAAAAACACAGAAGCAATGTTTACATTACAATATAGGTAAGACAAGTTTATTTCAATGCATCACAATAAAACAGTTGAGACAATCGTTTGGTTTGTGTACTATTATATAATACATCATACCACTTTGATTACATAAGGTTTATTAAGATGCGTTCACATGACGGTCAGCTGTGATCTAATTTGAAAGCTGAGAAAATCGATATTGCGTTTACAGTTGCCCAGTACCTACACATGTGTTGAATTGTTTTTAGAACAATGTTTTAAAACAATAATCAGATAAATATTTGCTTATATAAAAAAACTTTTAAAATACAACGTACCTACAGAACAACAATAAAAGCAACTCAAGCGCATCGTATATATGCAATGCAAATATTATAATTGTTATAATTATTACACCTTACATAATAATATTTTTAACAAGTACATATTATGTATTCTACAAGTGAGTTTTCTATATATACATATGTTTCGACTGCGTTATTGTGATGAACTACAATAAACTGCAACAACACAGAAAAATGTTAACAAATACTCTTCTTCGTGTTTTATTTTACAATAAGCAAATACAACATCACTGAATATTTATTTTTATCGCTATAGGTAGCCAATAAGCAAGGGAACCTCATTATTTGGCCATTACAATACAAGAAAGAATGGGCATTGAATGGGCAATTCTACATCCGCATTAACTTGCAATAATCACCCAATTACCTAGATTTAGGGAGTGGCCAATTTTACAAATAAAAAGTCCTTTAAGAATAATAATTTAATTTTAAAGTAATTAATTTTATAACTCTTTATATATATAACCTCTTTCTTTTCCATTAATCAAACTCTTTATTATGGATTCTTAAATCTTTTATTTTGACTAAAATAGTCAATAATTGAGGGAAGCTCCCAGTAAGCACCAAACACTCGGCAAACAGTCGGTATAGGCGGTTCGGCTTGCCTCAGCCGGCCCGCTTACGCTTACGCCTTATGTTACCCCGGTACCGTTTAGCCATGTTCTAACCGAAGTCGGCCAAAATACGGCATTCCGCTGCAAAATCCTTCGGCTTGACCTATCCGGCCCCCTTACGGCTGGAATACGGCCTGCCGCGGCATAAGCGATACATCTCACGGCTGCTTACGCAACAAAGCTAACTATAAATAGCGATTGGTTGCAATATTTAGTTGGAAATGTGCGTCCGTAATGGCATAGAAACATTAATTGATTGAAGTCCCCATCTCCATCCTGATCTGCTCAGTAACGAATAATGTCTAGCTAGTCGAGTGTGTTAAAAAAATTATAGGATATACCTCTCTAGGACGTGAGTAGGCTTTTTTTGAATGGCCAGGTGGTTGTTGTCTGCACTCGGCCGAGTAAACAAAGCCGATATTCGGCCAGGCGGATATGCCCGACAGTTGACCAAAAACAAAATATAAAAAGATATCAACAAACTAAAAAACTCAAAACATGCTTGGTAATGAACCAAATAACTTTTATATTGAACTTCTTTTTTAACTTTGCAAATAACAAAGTTAAAGCCAATATTTGATACTTTTGTTCCACCCTGTATATTTATACCCTAAATAGAATCTTTAAACGAAGAATCGCCCAGGCGATGTGCACTGCACCTTCTTCTTTAACTAACCAACATTTAATTACATGCATGTTAAAACATTCAATTTTCTTAGTTTATTTATTATATAAATATGAATAATATTCAAAAGAAAAAAAACTACACCAAAACGACACTGATGAGACCCAATATAGGACGAAACAGCTGTCTGTCGGTATTTGAAGTTGGTGGAACGCACTCAAAACAAAAAACTTTGGCGGGGTGTAGGTTCAATTTTTTTTTCTTATGAATATTACCAGTAATGAGTCAAGAAAGTTTCTTAAAGAAACTAAGAAAATTAAATGTTTAATTTAATGTTTAGCCCGGCGGAGTAATTCTAGATTCCTTTAGACCATATTAGTATCTGTGATACAATTGCTGTGTGCAGTCTCAGTTGCATAGTATACTAGTACATATATATATGTACTAGTATACTATGCATATATATATACCGATTGCGGCAAAGGCCACGTCGTTTGACGGCGTGGATCACCTGATGTTCTTACATCTCGCCTCTGCTGGCTTACCAACCGTGCATATAAGCTTAGGGAGTCCTTTGTTTTGAGTGTGTTCCACTACACCAAGTTGCCCGACACTGATTATATTTGAAGTTGGTGGAACGCACTCAAAACAAAAAACTTTGGCGAGGTGTAGGTTCAATTTTTTTTTTCTTAAAACATTAATTACCAATTTTACTAACCCAAGGGCCAGTTTATCAATCTCTGGTTAAGTTCCAGTTAGTCTATCTGACAGTTAAATTCCATATCGATCGTTATGAGAACAATGGTATCCATGGAGATTATCTGCCAGATAACTAACCAGCGTTGCCAGTGCCAGTGATTTTGTATTGAAATCAGTACTTTTTAAGGTATGTCAGTACGTCAGTGCTACTTTTATAGTTTCAGTACGTTTTGCGAAACTTCCTACCCAACCAGAAAAAAGTTAAAACCTAAACAAATATGCATAGGTATAATAAAGAAAACACTACTTTTTTAATAAATTCTTAAATCTTAAACTAAAAAATATTATGATTCCTTCAAGGTACAACATCTTAAAAATTAACGTACATTAAAATAATCTCAATTACATTGCACCGTTTTTTTACATGTGCTTTAAAGACAAATTTTTGATACAAAATAGAATCTCAATTAATTTTTTATTAACAGTTTAAAATCTAGCCGTTAAAGTGGTATGTAAAGTGTAACAGCTATATTGACTAAGCCAAAAAAATAAAAAGCGATCAAGGTGCAAATTGGCAAATACCTAGTCATTTGAGCATACACCTTAGACAGGCAGTGACTTTTAAATTACTTGACTGCCGAAGGGTCAAGTTTGTCGAGTACGAGTACTAACATTAAATAGGTACCTACAATTGTAGGGTTTAAACAATATAATCAAAATATTAACAAAATCTTAAATTTTTTAGAAAACAGTACTTTTTCATTTAAATCAGTAAGTTTTTTCCTTCCAATCAGTGCAGAATTTTTTCGTGGTCTGGCAACGATGCAACTAACTGCAACTTTAACTGGACATTGATAAACCGGCCCTTAAACAAACAAAATCTACACATACAACAAAAATAAACAGCATTGTCCACTATTTGTATACAAATGTATACAAATTATAATTTCACAGATAAAGAAGGTTTATAACCATGAGAACAAAGACAGAATTCTGATTAATCACGTGGTTAATATCAAAGTTTTTATTGGTTTTTTGGTATACATAAAATTTTGAAATCCGCCAATTGTAAATGAACCCTATTTTAAAAATAAAAAATTCAGCTAACGTTTAAATAAAAATCTAAAAAAATTATAATTATACCCGTTAGATTGACAAAAATCAGAAGAACTCTTCCAGAAGACTTCCAAATCTTGCTATTAGTCTGATTTACTAACTTATTATGAGTCAAGTCAAAATAACTTATTAGGTCAGACTAATAGCAAGATTTGGTCTTCTGAAAGAGTTAATAAGACTTCATAAGACTTTAAGCAGAGAAATGGTAGGTAATTCCGGATATTTATTTTTATCGCTATAGGTACCTATAGCGATAAAAATAAATATCCGGAATTATTCAGAGAGGTTCTATTTGGTTATTGTAAAATAAAACACGAAAAAAAGTATTTATAAACATTGTTTTTGTGTTGTTATAAGGCTTATAACAACTGTTCTGTGTTACACAGAAGCAATGTTTACAATACAGGTAAGCAAAGTTTATTTCAATTCATCACAATAAAACAGTTGAGAAATTCGTTGTTTGTGTAACATACAGATCACTTTTTGATTACATAAGTTGTAATAATTATACAAATATAGTCATAATGTGTTTAACAGTCGTACACATAACAAATATGGTTGAACTTCGACTTGAGTTTTTGTGTTGCCGCAAGAGTAAAAAAACTAGTTATATTTTAAATTTCGAAAATTGAATTAAATTAATTTAAAATTTTTATTATAGTGAACCAACATTTATCAAGATAGAATAAAATAATTATGCATATTTAGTAAATATACATTATTTACTGAAAATTTATTTAGTTGGTATTTTGACCGAAATTTGCAATATACCCGATTTTACGCGCAAACATGACGAAAATATTATATATTTTTTTATTTTACAATAACCAAACACAGCCTCTCTAAATAATGTTTATTTTTAGCGCTGCATGGACCTACCATTTCTCGTCTTAAAGTCTTGACTCGTCCAGAATACTCCCAATAGTCTGACTTATTAAAGCTCCCTGCACAACAGCCCGGTAACCTAAACGATAAAGGTGGGAGAGACTCAGCGAACCCTATATCAATAGTGGTTTTTTAGTCTCTCCCGGGCTATTGTGCAGCGGGCTTAAGACTTATTCTGGGGGTTTTCCGAATTAATAAATTTTATTCAGACTTTTTAAAAGAAAGTAAGACTTTCAAAACTTATTAAAACTTTTTCAGCCAAAAATTTACACAGGGCAATGCTATTAAAACCTAGCTTATTAAAGGCCATCTTTACCTACACAATATTTATGTGCCAATTTTTAATATCTTAAAAACTAGGTTATTGCAAAAATAACATCAGCTGTAGAAAACGTGATTAAAATTCCGCATTGTTATTTCTTAAATAACATATTATGACTAACTGCGAAAGCATGTTGTTGGTAATTAAATATTCAGATTAAACGTATTTTTTTTGGTCCATTTTTGGAATTCAAAAAATCACAAAGCCCAAACAAAACACATTCATTTATTGTTATTTACAACTTTGAATAATATTTAGGTCTCCTGTTGGGCTTCTGGAGAAGCCTTCCTGATTCCAAGTTGTTGGTCAAATCGGTGTCATGAAACGTTCTGTCGAGATTAGGAAACCATGTCAGCAACTCTTGCCTTGTCAAGTTTTCGTAGTGCCTTAAAAACACAGGATAGCTCTTAAAAATCTTGATCAAGTTGTCTTTGTGGATTTTGAAGGTGTCCGTAATTTCTAGGGCCACGGCTGACCCGTTGTAACGCTCTTCGACGTCCCATAGTAAACTGGTCATACCCACAACTCTACCATCTATAAGATGGTTTATTTCTACGCCAAATTTGTTGTACATCGCAGCTGTTCCAGAATGTATAAAGTATATGTAGTCGATATCATCTTGTAGCTTGACTATGACATCGTGCACCAGGAAAACTTCTTGCTCCAAAAACATCGTTATGTCTTCTATACCTTGCTTGCTTAATATTGTAAACCAATCCGATTTTATGATCAAGTTTCTGCAGTTGTGCATTTTCACTTCTATTTGTAACGTATTGGACATTTCTTGCATTATTTTCGACTCGTTGAAAAACCTCTTCAGGAATTTGTGGTGAAAATATTGCAAAATCCTGCTCTTCAACGTTGTCGAAAATTTATTTGCAATGGCATAATTGACGATCTGGTGCCTTATTTCCTCGTATTTACTCTCGGATATGCTCACGATCCCAAATAGTACAAGCATGTTTGCTATTATGTACAACGTGTACAGTCTCCCAAATATCATAATTAAGGACACAATGATTTCTTCTAATGGGAATTTCTTGACGGAGTACATGCTAGTATTAGCACCAAAAAAGTGGCATGTTACGCAGGTCAAGCAGTGCAAGTATTTACGTATTAAAGGAGGGCCCGGTTTGATGCTGGGGTCAATTTTGGCGTCTACGAGCCACGAGGGAGGCATTGTTTTGTTAAACACGTAAACTATAGACGGAAGCAAGTATGAAATGCATGCGAACAGATGTAGGAACCCGTGTGTTACCACGATGAATATAATACAAGTCGTTATGGTTTCGGATAGTTTAAGTATGTTGAGTAATATTTCATTGAGAATTTCGTACAGCGTTTTAACTCTTACGTAGGTTAAGAAACCAGTTAATAAAATAGGGAATTTTGTACGTGGATCTAGGTGTACCAAGAACAATAGGTATTTTAGTGGTAAAGCTTGGCAAATATCGAAGAAAAAGTACGTCGAAATATAGTGCCTGGCGATATCTCCAGGTCTTAAAATTACTTTTCGTACTTTTTTATCCAAATATCCAGTAAAAAAGTTTGTTATAATCACTATGGTAATGCCAACTCTTAATGGCAATATAAGATAATCTTGCACGTAATTAGAGTCTTCATTAAATCTATGATCAAAGGAAAAATGAAAAGGCAAAAGAAACATTGCAGAAGAAAACACAAAAAAATTAAAAAATATCCTGATCGTGTTCACGGTGCTGAACGGATGAATCACGTAGACGTAGTTGTTCATGTGCCTTTCCTGTTCGTTGTACATTTCTTGCCTCGTTTGGAAATATTCTTTACAATTTTCATTTTTCATGTTCAACGTGTTTTTCTTTGCCAGCCATCTTCCGAACCTTTTTAATTTCGATGTTTTCGGAGGTAAAGTCGGGTTGTAATCTATTACCACAAAATTGTTTAATTCGCAGAAATGAGTGGGTTGTTTTTTCATTTTCACTTTACTTTAACAAATGTCAACGTTAAAGAAAATTGTCAAACTATTTTGTTGTTGGCAGTTTTTTGCCTTTTACAGGTCTTATACAGGGTGTAAGACTTTTAATTGATAATGTAATAGTCTCAAAAACCTCTAAACTGAATACTAGTTTATAGATTTCAATTAATCAATATATTATTAGATTTATGGTCCGAGGATTGTTAAGATAAACATTAATTAATTATTAACTTTATAAAGTTATAACTTTCATAATTAATAATAATTACATTCCAGATAATACATTTTCTCAGAGAATTCACAATATCCTTAACTTTTTTCGATCAGTTTACATTCCAGATAATACATTTTAAGGTTAAATCAAATGAAAAAGTTATTGTATATATTAAAGTATTTATTAGAAAAATTGTAAAGAAATCTGTACATATAAAAATTTACACAAACAATATTACACAACCTCTTGGAATGACAAGAATTCCCTAAATAAAAATTTTAAAGATCAACATGAAATAAGTGTTTTATCATCCTAGATAATAGTAGAATAACAATAAAATAGCAAATATAATAATATACGGGGAAACTTAAAAAAAATGGAGGAAAATAATAATACTAAAACAGTCAAATTAAATAGAAAATATCACTTATAGCGGTGTGATGTTTGGTTACATTGGCAAAATGTATTATATTTCAAAAAACTAAAAGTTGCGATACAGTCAAAAACGATAAATGTATTTCATCATTGGAAACATTTATGTAGAATCAAGATTTAAATTGCATTTACTATTCACATTTTCCGGGAACGATAAATGCAATAAAAAAAAGTTTGATTATACCTCATTTTTTATTTATCATATAAATATTAATATTACAAAAATAAATTAACGTAGCGAATACGTAAGTTAGAACCGTTAGTTTAGCATTTAGCATTCTGGTTTTATTTTAATAACGTTTATTTTTTACAAACTAATCAATCACATGTCGACCCTTCTGGCTTTGCGTTTTTTTACTTTATTTTTGGCAGATTCGTCTTTATTTTTTAGCTCCGAATCGCTTGCCGTGTTGTTTTCCTCGCCCTCAGTCTGACTATTTTGAGCATCGTCGAGGAGATCGTCCCCAATGTCTTCATCACCCTAATTATTAAAAAAATGTTTATTTTTTTTAATATATTTTTTTTCAATCTCACCATTTCATCCCCGCTGTCCTTAGCTTTCTTCTTGTTATTAATAACTTTTAATTCTACAGACCTTTTTGGTGGGTAAATTAAATCAATAACGCATACTAAAACCTGAAAAACAATTAAATTAATTAAAAACAACAAAGACAATTTTGTTTCATTACCATTCCAATTAAGGCACCCATTACAATGGTGGCTAAAGCAAAAATCAAATATGAACCCCATGTGGGTAACCCAAAATCTTCCATTAGTTTTGTATGAACTTGCTATAAAATAAAAAAATAAGATATTGTTTAATATGGTTTTCTCAACGAGAAGTGTGGGATTCCGGGCAAGTTGGAAAGGTTGTGCACGCGACGTATGTTTTTTTGACGACACTTTTTACAATATAGCCGTATCAACCAAAAACACGCATCTCAACATTTCTACTTTTTAAATTATTGCGCTTTATAGGTTTTTTCTTAAAATACGTCTAATTTAATTAGAAACTTTTGAGTACCATAGTACTTAAAAATGTATACAGAGTTAGAAACCGTAAGATGTTAATTAAGAAAATAATGAGTTGCGTCTTTTTGGCTTAGGACGGCAGAATGGGGTAATCAATTCCACGCCAACTCAGCCAGCGGTTGACGCTTTACGGCTCAGATTTTGATAAAACTAGGTGAGTTTGTTGGCGTTGAAAAAAAGGCCCATATTTTTTGTTTTGCAAAATTCGAAGTTTCTGCGAAATTACGGTACTTTTAATATTCGCTTAAAAGAACGTCCATTTTGCTCAAAATATTTCTTAACTCAAAAATAAATTTAAAGAATTTTTTTGAAAAATTTAATTTCTTGAAATAATTTTTTTTAAATTGATGCCATTTCGATTTTGATCATATTTTTTTTTTGGTGGAATTTATCGGACCGACAAAAAAGGGTGTACGCCAAATTTGGTCATTTCGACGACACAGACATATGTATGTTTAGCGACCAAACAATTGTTTTCACGATAAATAAATCAATTTCAATATAAAATATAATATTGCACGCCAAAATAGATAATTATAATTGTACGCCATAGAGAGTATTGCACGCATAAAACTAGGACATTACACGCCAAAATAAACATTGCGCGACAAAATAGATACTTTATTTTAAAAAATTAAATTTTTTAAAAAACAATTAAAATTTATTATAGAGAAAAGAAATAGAATGCAAAATGGACTACCTGTTTATTATTTTAAGTGAATTAATAGCTGAATTATCTTCTTTCAAAGTTAGCACTTCATAAGTACCGTATTTTCTCGAAACTTTTAATTTCGCAAAACAAAAATATATGGGTCTTTATATTTGTCAACAAACTCACTGAGTTTTATCAAAACCTGAGGGATCAAAGGTCAACCGTTAGCTGACTTAGTGTGAAATAGTGATTTGAAATTTTAAAATTAACGATTCTAAAATATATTTTTTACATTAAACAGTGTCCCAATTAGAGATGTAAAAAAAAACGGTTTTTTTTCAGATGTGAAAAAAAAAACATGAAAAAAAACCTAGAAATAAACGGTTTTTTTGTTTTTTTTCAAAATGAAATTTTGAGTAAAATATATATTAATAATAAAGTGAAATGTAGAATATATTAAATTTTTCGTTATTGAAAATTTTGACCGAGACTAAAAAATCTGATTTCTTATTATTTGGTAGTTTCCACATTAGAAACCAGTAGCAATGTAAAACTTCTACACCAATACAAAAAATTAAAGGATAAAAAAATTGTTTTGCGATTCTTCGGATAGCTGTATCTGTTAAAAATGGTCGTATTGGAGCCGTAAAAAAAGCAATTTGAAGCCTGAAGTTTCTAGTTTTGAGATTTTTAGATGAAAAATGTGCAAATACCGTAACAAAAAAAATCGATTTTTTTGGCTTTCTGATCCACGGAATGTTCTGACTTTACCACCAATGAATAAATGTTCTACAAGAATTTGCTATTCCATACTCTACATGAATTTGAAAAATCACGAAAAAAGTTCTTTTGGTAGCTTTTTGAAAAATCAAACGCTGAATCAAAAATATTATATGTAGTTACTTTTTTTAGGACCAAATAAAAACAAGCGCGGCCATTATTGGTCAATTCGGTGGTGGTGGCGCGTGCATAGCGCGAGACTGTATTTACATTTACTAATTGTCATTTAGTGGCTAATTTTAGTCCATGAAACCTAAAAAAATAGGCAAATGGGACTTATCTTGAAAAAAAACCTAAAATGTGAAAAAAAACCATTTGAAAAAAAACAATGAAAAAAACCTGAAAAAAAAAAGTCGCATCTCTAGTCCCAATAGTCGCGCACCACCTTGTGTATGATCTACATGCCCCCAGGAATTCCAGAAAATTATTTTAAGTTTCATTATATAGATTAGGGTTAAGTGGAAGAATGATCCATGATCAAACTTCGCCCTTTTGATGTAATACTTTTTATGTCAAATAAAGTCGTTTTATTATTATTATTATAGATTAGGCCTAATGTACATAATGTACAACCAAAGGTTTTATTCGAAAATTCCTAATAGAAGTGTATTATCTTTGTATGTAACGACGGAATCTAAGTTTTAACTGCCATTGTAAAGGGATAACAATCGATTAAGCAATCAATTTTTGACTCATTATGTTAAAGTGCATGCGTATTGTTAAAAATCCTAAAATGCATTAGACAAAAGATAAAACCGTAAACAAGGAATAAGACCGATGGAAAAAATGACGTCGCTGAACTAACCTCAAAAGTTTTGAGTCAAAACACTAACTTCAGTACGTATCGCATAAGTTTTAAAATTTAATAGTGTAAATAAAGAAAACACATCATTCTGACATTGGCTAAAGAAGTATTGGGTTTTCGCAACGCGCGCGCCATCTGGTGGATAGATAGCATTGCGAGAATTTAAGGATTGTCAACAATACATTTAAAGCACTTCATTTTTAAATAAATAGGTAGTTTTTCACAAAAGAGAGGAAGGCAGAAATCTTACTCGACAAATTTTGTTCAATTGCACAGCTAAATAGCGCACGTTATTTGTGTTTCGCGTTGCAAGTGAAAAGGGGTTTAGTACTCGATTTCGATTTATTATTCCTTATATCATTGATTAAGAAACACAACGTTTAGGTTATTGTGTGTATTTTATTTAAGTGATCATGGTGAATTATTGTGTTTTTAATTGTAAATTTAATTCAAGAACTAAATCGTTGCATTTTCAAGGATCCAATTAGGTACAAATATTTGTTGGTGGTGAATTAATTAATGATAATATAATTTATATTTAAGTTTGGACATTTTTAAGAAACTTAACAAAAAAGAATAGTTGTACAAACATAACCTTAAAATCAAACATTTTTATCTATGGTCGCCGACAACTGCATTTTAAAATAGTAAACGACAAAATATATCCACGAATTCATGGCAACATAATAAAATACTCATTTTTGTTTTTTTTTACCAACGCTTTTAATAGTGCATACCGCTTTTTAAATTTAGAAACTTAATTGTTTTATGATTTTTTCTTGAAATTTAAATGTTTACAATTTGTACGTAAACCATTTCTAAAATGTTTATTTATTGTATCTAATAGGTAAAATTTATATTTACAGGGACTTTATACAATTTATTTCCACTGGTAAAAACACAACCCAGGATTTCCTGTCGAAAAACACCCAACATACTAGGGTTAGTGTCTTTTTTGCAAAAATAAGTCCATTGAAAATATCCAATTACAAAATAATTAATGATTTATTAAGTTAAATTACAAAATTATAATTTTATAAATTGAAATGTCAAATAAAACAAAAGTTATGTTAATACAGCACCGAATGTTTTTTTGCGACCTAGTAGAATTTTCTTACTAAATTAAAATAAAAGAAATAATTATTATAATCATAATATGATTATATTCAGCGTCTCGATATCAGTGTATGGATAGTATCCGTAAAAATTTGGAAATTTTCAGAAAAATTAACTTTTGCATTTTTTCGTATTACCATTTTAATATAATTTAAAAAAATGCAAAAGTCAATTTTTCTGAAAATTTCACAAATTTTCCGAATTTTTTGAAGAAAATTTTAAAACCGTAAACACAACAAATCGTTTTACGTTTTTTTCCCTCGATATTTTTAACATTTTCCGGCCTTATTCCTCGTTTGTAACATACGCGTTTGACAGCTGATTATTATTAAGTTTTAGTTTAGTTATGATGATATAAATCTTGTGTTTGGAGAATGCTTGGAAAATAGAAGAGTCCTTTGTGTAATGTTAATATTTATTTACTTTTTTTATAGAATTAATATATGGTTTTATTATTATTGGTATATTGGGACGTAAAATAAATAATCTTTAACTTAAAGTAAATATGTATGGGAGTATTTTTCTAAATAATAAAGGTAGAACTTTCTGGGATTCCTGTAGATCATACATTTAAGGTGGTGCGAGACTTTTGGGACACCCTGTATATAACCCAGAACAAATAAATTATGCTTTTGATCGAATTTCATTATAAAGCGCTGGGTAAGCAGGTAAAAAAGTAAAAATTTGTCTTTAGTAATTAAAAAACTTGTTTATTTTTTATTGACTTACCCTCAAATATTGAGACAACTTAAAGAAACCTGAAACAACAGTCATTTGAATGGAATCCGGGGCCCTCCAGCCTGGAGTAGGTTCAACCTGTTGCCATTTTTTATCCTCTACAAACGATGTAAAGGAATCCTTATCTCTTGATCCTTTATATTGCCTAATTTCCCCATTTAAAACACTAAAATAAAGTCATTAAAAAAACCCACGCAAATCTTATCTGAGAATATCAAACTCACTGGAATATGGTTGGCAACGCTGTAATCATAAATCTCCCACTTAAACCCTGCGACGTTGTCACATCTACCTGGCCAACCTTTATTCCTAAGCCTGGCGCTAAACCTGCAAAGTCGGCCCATGTTTTCTGCAGAGCTTTACATGCTGGACACCAGGGGGCATAACTAAAAATGTACTTGATTTTAGGATAAAACTTTTGGTAAGAATTGGTTTTTAATAAAATAATTTTTTTATAGGTAACATTTTTATGATTTTTATAAGAGTTCTGTTGAAAATGTTTTTTTGACTTTAATCACTTTAATAATAAGTAATTTATTTCAATGCACCCCTGAGTTATGGTCGGAAAATAGGCTGCAAAAGGTGTGTAAAGTTTAAATATTAAAAGAAAACATAAGAAGCTCAATAAAAAGATAATTTTTTTCGACTTTTTACGCATTTCATCGCATAGTCATTTAATATTTTTTTCAAAGCCCTTTTGAGTTCTGGGCAGTAAATATAGTGAAAGTGGTGGATACGAGGGGTGCTAGGCAAAATTTGTATTACCTAAATGTGGAAAAAATAAATAAAAAATTTATTTCAAGCACCCCAAAGTTCTGGTCAGCAAAAGGTTCCTAAAAATCTGCCCCTATCCAAAAATGGTACAGCTTAAAGCTAGCAACCCAATTTTTAAAAATTTAAAAAAAAAATTCACATAAGGACTTCAAAATTCTATTTGCACCGTCAAGAACTGTACAACTATTTGAAAATTACTTGGAACTAGGGATGCACCGGAATTCCGGCGGTACCACTAAATCCGGCCGATCCGGCCAGTTGGCCGGAACTACCGTTCCGGCCGGATCGCTCCGGCCGGAACGGTAGTCGTGAACACCAGCAGACATAAATACAAAATGCAAATAGGGATTTTCTGTGAGCAAATGAATAATGAAATGACCTGCAGCCCTGTGCCTTTGCTTATGATTAGCAGGCGTCTGGGATTTCCCGACTTTCGCGTCTGTGATTCCCCGACTTTCGCGTCTGGGATGCCCCGACTTTCGACCAGATATATTTTGTAATTGGTCAACAGTGAAGGGTGTAAGTGTTTCCTTGCCTATGATACACCGGCGGCTGTGGTTCCCCGACTTCTTTTTATTTTTTTATTATTTGCAGGTGGCTGCTATTCTCCAATTGAATGAGTAGAATTGTTTTAATTTTGTTAACGCTAATTAAAAATTAATATTTAAATAAACAGTAATTTCTATCTAGGTAAAATTAATAGTACCTAATAAACACTCTGCATACTGTAGCTAGTTTAAAAAAAAGTTACAATAAATCACCCTCAATATTTTTAATGTTTTACGTATAAAAATAGGCATGCACATACATTTTAAAATTAGGTCCCGATCCGGCCGGAATTCCGGCGATCCGGTCCGGCCAGCGGCCGAAATTCCGGTTCCGGCCGGATCGGCAAAATACCCGATCCGGTGCATCCCTACTTGGAACTCTAAAAAAATTTGGGGTGCTAACTTCACATGAGTCTGGTTGCAGTTTAACTTTAATTAAGGTTTAGTTGGTTAGTTCCAATTATAACAATAAGTTAGTTTAAATGTAATTGAAAACTTGGTTGGGCCTCATACATTTTTAGAATTATCATTATTAAGGTAATTAATGTCTTATACAAGACATGGTGTACATCTATCAAAATTTGTATTGGCATTGATTTTATTTATTTATTTACTAACAATTAAGTCATGCCTATTTATGGCTGTCTAGTAAACATTTCGTATTTTTATCAACTTGAAAAGTATAAATATTTTATGATTAACACTTGCAACAAGATTTTTCATGATTACCTACATATTGCCATTGCAAAATGTTTTTTACTACATACTTAAATAAATAATAGTTTTTGAAATAAATTTGCATTTGAATAAAGAAACTTGTTAAAGATAAAAAATGAAAATTTACGGCTAAATAACCATAAGGACATCCTGTATAAATTATTATAAATTCACTTGTAACAAAATAAAAATTACCGATGTGTAACACGACGGTGTCGATAAATCACTTTTTTATTGTAAATCTATGTAACGGCTAATGAGATTTTGGTGTAATTGAGCCGCAAACACTATTTACATTAACTTACCATAAATATTTCTATGCTAAACACCCCATTAACATTTGTTTTAGCACTTTAGTAATGTCTTTATTTGACACGACAGTATTTCAGATTAAAAAATGCAATTTTACGCCTATACTTACAATTCTACCATCCACTCATTTTTCAGTATGTCCGTCCAATTGTCCTCGTTCAATTCCACCACCCTTTTTTGTCCGTTTACCGAGAAAAAGGCACAAAATACCACAAAAATTGTCAGTAAGGTCACTTTACCGAACGCCATTTTCACGAATGCCACTTGAATTTTTCAAGCGTTGTCGAGGTTACGATAAGGGCTCTGACTGTGAGTGTACAGCCAACAACAATAAATAATAGGTCACAGTCTAAGGTAACGTCAAAAATAAACGTCACGTTGGCGACAATGAACTCACCAGAAACAGTTATATTTTGATTTATTACCAACTTGATGTTCAACATAACCTCACTTTAACTCGCATGGTTTATTTACTTGTTATTTGCGATGAAGAAGTTTAAAAAACAAGCAAAAACAGAAACTTACAATGACGATATCGACGATGGGTATGATGAGTCAAAAAAATGGTACGATGAGGTTAGTAAAACAATATAGTTAACGTTAAATTAGTTTTTTTAATGAATATAAATTGTAGGAACCATCATATCCAAAAAATTTTCAAACTGTTACTGAACAAGTTTTAATAGAGTTAAAAGAGGAAGCTAAGAAGTGTCATGACTCTGAATGTGCAAATTTTAACATAAGTAAGTCGTAAAAAACATATTTTTAAATTATTTTGTTACAAATATGCTTTCAAGAAAATTCAAAAACAAACTCCAATTTTCAATGGATTAAAACTGTAATGAATAAAGGTACAGTATCAGATAAAATAGCAGCACATACAGTTGCCATACAAGAGAATCCTGTGTCAAATTTGGAGACAATTAGAAATCTTGTCAGCATGGTTAAAGTGGGAAAAAAGAAAGAATGTACTTCTGTTATAGGTAAAATATTAATAAAAATAAAATGCAACACCATGTTTCTTAATTTTATTTTCCAGAAACCTTAATGGAACTGTTTTTATCTGACATATTAAGGCCAGATGAGAAATTAAAACCATTTCATCAGAAACCATTGTCGTTACTTAATGATTTATCCTCTGGAAATGCAATAACCAGAAGAAAAATTTTAAGTCTCTGGTACTTTGAAGATCAACTCAAAGAAATTTATACACAATTTGTATTGGCTTTAAATACAGCAGCACATGACTCTGTTGATACCAATAAAGAAAAAGCCATAAGTGCTATGTATAAATTGTTGGCTGGCAATCCAGAGCAAGAAAAGGTAAGCTCTTTACTATAATACTTTTATAGGTAAGGAAAATTATTTATTATAAATTGTTTTTCATTTTATATTTTATTTACAATAATTGTTTATTTATTAATAATTATTTAAGTAGAGCCATAATATAAATTGAATTAGGGCAAATATAAAAAATCCAGCTGTAGTGTCATTTTGACAAAAAAAAAATTGAAATCACTTATGTCAAAATTCTTAGTATTAAAAAATCATCAAAAATATGAAAAATGAGGTGTATTCCATATTGGAAGAGAAAAAGATTTTGGACTACATAACTTCACACAATTCCTACAAAGAATTGCACAGCGATGCTCTGTGGAAAACCCTGGAAAGTCTAAACATAGTGGACAAGTCGTGGTTAAGCATAAAAAAACACTTTGAACAGAAAATCCTATTTAAATTGCACAGCAGATTTTTCGGTTTGAGTTCCAGCATGATTCAGCACATTTTAGATCAGTACGATTTAAATGGCAACAAATTGAATTCCAACAAGAGAAGGGTGTTGCTTTTTACGAAAACTAAAAACCCTGATGCCACCACATTTTTAGAGCAAGTCAAAAATAATCCAAAGTTAAATGAGAATTCAAAGCTTATTGTTATAGAGAGAGTTAAGAAATAAATAATTTTATTTTAGTCTGTTTATTCTTATAATTTTTTGATTTTTTGGAGGTAGTTCACACATGGAGGAGTTTGTAGAGTTAAGGGGGGATTTTTTGTATATTTCGTTGAGCACCTCGCTTTTTATTTCGATTTCTTCCTCCAAACATTCTTTAATATCTTCAGGTTTTGGTTTTAATAGTGATTGAAAGCTTTCTATGTAATTATGGCTGCTTCCATATTGTTTTACCAAGTTTGTAACTGTTATGTTGTTTCTATTTTTTGTTATGTGAATTTCACTTTGATTCGCAACCTTTAATTTTCCCGGGATTATCCTTAAAGTTGAGCTTAGTGTGGGCGGTCCCTCAATGTTGAGAAATGGAAATTCGTGTTTTTTTGGGTTTTTTAATTTTTCTATTAAAATTAACTTGCTTTTTGGGTTTCTTGAAGGTTTTATTTTTGGCGTTTTTACATCAGTCATTGAAACACTTTTTTGTTGTAGGATTCTTTTGGGTTCTATTACTAAAGCTTTATTTTTAACTTTTGATCTTGTTAATACTTTTTTCTTTGGTTTTGTTACTGTTACAGTTTCTTCCTCTGAAGAACAAACCTCGTTCGGACACATTAAAGTTTTAATCTGTTTTTCCGTTAATTTATAAATAGAATTTCTGATTTTCGGAAATATTTTGGTTTCATAATAATCCTTTAGATCCAGAGTTTCACAATTGATTTCCAATTTTTCTTTTAAATCTTCCCAAAACGTTAAATTACTCAGTGTTGCTACAGAATTATTTTTCAGAATGTGTTGTATTACAGCTTTTTCTTTGCTGCTTTTTAATTTTTCTTCGTTGGACATTTTTAAGTCTAAACAAAAATTTATTTCTTTTTTGAAAGTTTACCTGTTTTGACATATTTTTGTGTCAAGCAGTTTACATAGGGTTGACTATAGTTTATAATCTATTGACTAGGCTATAAACGTATATGATTATTTTAAAATTGGGGTATGCTAATTGCTATAATATTATTTAGAATCTTCTGACGAACATAGTGAACAAACTAGGAGATCCATCCCAAAAAGTAGCCTCAAAAGCCATATACTGCTTAACGCAACTTTTGTTTAAACACTCCAATATGCAAGGTGTTGTTCTAAACGAAATCGAAAAGTTACTATTCAGACCCAACATTTCCAACAGGGCCCAGTACTATAGCTTGTGTTTTTTGTCGCAATATTATTTGAGCCATGATAGCAGTGATGTAGCTAGGAAATTAATTGAGGTGTATTTTTCGTTTTTCAAGGGATGCATCAAAAAGGTAAGATAATTTTTCTGTTTTCCTAGAAAATAAAAAAAATAATTTCAGGGTGAAGTCGATAGTAGGATGATGTCGGCCCTTCTGATGGGTATTAATAGAGCTTACCCCTATGCAAAACTAGAATTTGACAAAATTTCAGAACATATTGATACCATGTACAGATTGGTGCATATGGCAAACTTTAACATAAGTTTACATGCCCTTACTTTGTTGTACCAAGTCAGCGATTTTGGAAATAATATTAACGATAGGTTTTACTCGGCCCTATACAAAAAATTGGTAGATCCTAATTTGCTAACAACCACACATCAGGCAATGTTATTAAGTTTAATTTACAAAGCATTGTTGAAAGATAAGGAAATTAATCGCGTAAAGGTTTTTGTTAAAAGAATGTTGGATGTAAGTAATACTCATATTAAACATATAAAAAAATATTGATATTAATTATAATTTTTAGATATCTCTATATGTAATGCCATCATTCACGTTTGGTATCCTATATTTGGTATCAAATTTAATTACAAAAAAAGAAAATTTACAATCCATAAAATTAAGTGAATCTTCCCTAAATGATTTTGATGACGATGACGGTGAAGAAACATACCACGATGTGAAAGAAGAAGTAGAAATAAAAGAAGAACCACTTGAAGAAGAAGCACCAAGGCCTAAACCAACAGACACAAAAGTAGTGATAGATCTTGAAGATAACGAAATCGAAGAAAAACCAAACATTGATGAACTGGATAAATTGAAGTCTCATAGCTGGCATCATGCCAACATAAAATTAAAAAACCGTAAAACTTCAGAGTGTTACAATCCCTACGCGAGAAACCCTTTATATGCTGGGGGGAAGTACAGCGCATACACTGAACTTCTTCAACTTCAAAATCATTTTCATCCCACTGTAGCGTTATATGCTTCTAATATTCTTAGAGGCGATATCATTAGGTACGATGGAGATCCGCTGAAAGATTTTACTTTGATTAGATTTTTGGAGAGGTTTGTCTTCAAAAATCCAAAGAAAATAGACCACAAGGAGGGAGTTCATCCCACTTTCGGACAAAGAAAGTTTTACAAACCCAAGGGAGTAAGGACTTTACCTGTTAATTCCAACATGTATATCGCAGAAAATCAAAATAATATACCAGTGGACGAACTCTTTTTATATTCGTAAGTATTGTAAATTTACAAAATGGCCAAATCAATAACTTTTTTTCTTTCTTTTAGTTACTTAAAGAAAAAGTACGAAAACCGACAACTTAAAGACGACGACGAAGATAGCGATGCAGAATCGGTACAAAGCGAAGAATTCGAAGATATGTTGGACAAAATGGCGGGCATGAAAGATCTCGATGAAGATATCGATTTTATGGAAGAAATTGGAGAAAATCTAAAAGCCAAAAAACAGAAAAAGAAAAAAGGAGTTCAAAATGGCGACGAGGACGATGATGAAGAACTCGAAGACGATGAAGAATTCAGTGAAGATGAAGATTTTAGTGATGATGATGGAGAGGATAATGAAAATGAAGCAGAAAAAGAAGATGTGCCCGATTTTGATATCGATGAAGATGATGAAGATCTTATTGGGGATCTTGATGATGATGATGAAGAAATTGAGTTTGGTGACTCTGAGGATGACAATGATGATAATGAAGAAACGTCGAATAAGAAAAAAATAAAGAATGTGAAGAAAAAAGTCAAGAAACTCGATAAAAACGATATAACCTCACTTTTTGCGTCGGCTGATGAGTTTGCTTCAATTTTGGAAGATGAAGGGAGTTCGAAAATTAAACCCGGCGGTTCAAATGCTGTTTCAAATACCGACAACGCCAGTAAGTATTATACAAATGATAATTTGTGAAATATTAATTAATTATTATTATAAGATATTACCTATTAATTTTTTTTTAAGATACAAAACAATTGGCGTGGGAAGATAAAAGAAACCATTGGCTGAATGGTTATAATAAAGCAGTTGGTAAAAAAGGAAAAAAATTTGGTAAGGACAAAGAATTTGTAAAGAATTCACAAAAAAGGACCAATAAAAGCATAGGAGGCAATAAAAAGAAGAAATTTAAAAATTAATTGTTAGTTTTCGATATAAATATAAGATTTTATTACAATTAACATGTTTTACTTTCAACACCCTTTCTCCAAAAACTTATTTTAAATTTGTCGCCAAACAAGTGCTGCCAACTTAACCAAATTATTTTGATGTCAAACTTTTAAGGTTATATTTGTTATATGGGTTATGTTTGACATCTAGATATTTACAAACAAACTTACGGAATTTCAGTATTATTTTGCTGAATTTAAGAAAAATGGTGTGTGATAAATGTCAAGCCAAAGTGGGAAAGGTTATAACACCCGATCCGTGGAAAAGTGGGGCTAGGAATACAACGGAATCAGGGGGTAGAAAAGTTAACGAAAATAAAGCTTTGACATCTGCTAAAAACAGGTTTAATCCGTATTCTAGTAAATTTGAGACATGTAGGTATGATATTTATGATTATAAGCGTTAGGTGTTGTTTATTTGATGTTTTTTATTGTAGGATTTGTCGACAGAAAGTACATCAGGTTGGGTCACATTATTGTCAGTCTTGCGCTTATAAAAAAGGGATATGCGCAATGTGTGGGAAGAAAATAACCAGTACAAAGAACTATAGACAATCATCTGCCTAAATTGTTTTTAATTTGTTGACTTATTAGCCGTTCTTAAAGATAAGCTATAAGCTAATAAAGTAATTCTTGTATCTAAATAATAATAAACTGTAAGTTAAACTAAGGAGTTTTGTAGGGTTCTAATAAAACAATATTTTTTTATATGTTTTTTATTATTTTGTTAGAAAATATGTACAAATGTTAAGTCTTACCCTTAAAATTTGTATAAACCATCAACAATACGTTTAAAAAGTAACCACATATTTAATTTATTTTCATTATGTACATGTTTAACAAGTAAAAATTTCTTAAAAATATTAAGTAAATATAATTTAATAAAAATAAAATATTTGAGCTTTTTATAGCAATCTCTTAAAATATTTAAAATAATAAAAGCGTTTTTCATTTAAAACAATGAAAGGTAAGGTGTATATCATCAGCACCACAATACTCAACGTTTTGATTTTCTTTACAAAAAATATTGCTCTTTTTACAGTCATTTTCAAAATTAAAATTATTTTTCCTTTTGCTCTTTCACAACAATATTACTGACATTGTTGCCAGATGGGTTGAAAACCCACTGTTTAAAGCTGCTTTCGCCGTTGCCGTTAGTTGCGATTTGAATCCCGTTTTCCTCAGTGGAATCGCTTCTTTTTGGGGGGATTGGGGGTCTGCTTCCGAACGTTGGCAAACCTGAGGGTATTTTTGAGTTGGTGCGAATCGAGGTTACGGTGACATTTTTGATGGGGGATTTAAGTTGGTACTTCATGGGGGTTGAGTGGACCGAGTTGGACTGCATTAGTTCGAGGATTGCTTTTTGGTTTTCCAGGTCCAAGTTTCTGGAGTCGCGTCTTTCTGGAGACATGGGTGGGGTTTTTCCAGTTGTGGCGATCGGTATGCGTGATTTTGTAGGGGTTGTTTCGGTTTTTGTTGATTTTGGAGGCGATTTTTCGAAGTTTGAACGCAGCAATTCGATTTGCGATTGTCTTTTTTCTGATTTCTCGGGTATTTTGCTTTCGTAACTTGTCGTAAACCTCATTTCCGGTAATTTTTTAAGTTGTTCCTCCGCAATTTCTTGTATTTTATGCAACTCCTTTTCTGGATCGATTTGCTCTATTACTATACTTTTCGGTTCGTTCGAAATAAACTCCTCCATACTGGTCTCGAAGTTCGGAATGTTAGTTTCAACCGCCTCTATCCTAGACTCGAAACTATTAACGTACTTTTCAAACTCGTTATCCAAGTTTTTGTTATCCGAAATCTCAACCTCGGAAACATTTTTCACGCTATTCGGCGTTAGAACTTGTATCTCAGTTACATAAGTCATGGTGCTATTCTTACTGTCATCACTACTCTTAGAATCATTACTGTTCATATTTATAGTAACCTCGTTACTAGGAATCTCAAATGTCAGTGACGTAGGTCCTACTAACACTTCCTGTGTACCAGGCGTTACTATGGTAACGGTACTATCATTATTCATAGCGCTACTATCCAACGCAGTCGTGTAAAAATCGCTTCGTTCGTTGATACTCAACTCCAAACTGTGCAAAGCCGAATCACCGTTCTCCTTAACTTCAATACTAGATACATTTTGAACACTTTTAGCGTCGTCCGGAATGGCTGCTTCCGCTTTAATCCTCTCCAGGCTTCCGTGAGAGTGCCTCGAGACTTTTATGTCGTCAGAAATGTTGGTATCCTGACTTTGACTGCATGACATCTGCTCATTGAAGAGAAAATCTTGAGTTAAATTTAGGTAGTTTGGAATAAAAACATGCGCTAGCACCGTCTTGCTCTCATCCGGCGTGTTGCTATTCAAAACTGTGACTTCCTGTTTAAGTGGAACCACTTCATGTTTGATTGGTACAACTTCCTGTTTATTTGAAACTACTTCCTCTTTGTTTAGAACCACTTTCAATTCGTCTGGAATCACCTCTGTCGTGTTTAAAGTTACTATCGACTTGACATCTGGTTGTCTTTGACGTTTGTGTTTTTCCGGAGGCTGTACTGCAGTGATTGTTTCGAATAGTTCCTTTGGCATGGGGGTGTCTTCTAATGTTTCTATGACTGTTACGTCCCATTTTTCGGTAATATCAAAATCTGTATCGTTATTTTTTATAATTTCTTTTTCAGGGTTCAACGTAAGTGTTATCTCTTCATGTTCCACTACTCTAGGCGGTTTAATTTGTCTTTTTTCAGAGGTTACGTTTATCTTAGGTTCGTCGTCTACATTTGATTCTGGCGGGTAAAACATTCCTTGATCTTTTTTGTTTTGTTGTTGTCTTCTTTCATACGCAGGCTTTAGTTCCATTTTATTTACACCATTGGTTTTGTGCGATTCAGTTTTGAAGTTCAATTTGGGTAACTTGCTCTCAAAAGTAGTTTCCTTCTGTTCTTTGACTATTTCTTTCTTGATTTGTACAGGAATATTTTCCTCAATGTTTTCTTTAATTTCAACCGTCTCCTTTATTCCACCATTGTTCTTGGGTTTATCAATATTAAATGGCCATATTTGATTCTTGACGTTATTCTCGACTTTCACTTCGGATTGTTTAGCAACAGCTCTATACAAGTCGATAACCTCAATGGGCAATTCAATTTCAACTGATTCCCGTTTGATTTCGTTGATTTTATTGACTAAAGCGCTGAATTCGGGTGATTTTTCACCGAAATCAAACGACATTTTTTCCGGGGATGGAGGATCAATAACCACTCTTTCATCCTCTTGATTTAGTTTCAAGATGGCATCTTCCATGTTTCCCCATTCAGTGGATTTCTTCAATCTGTTTCTTTGAAAGGTGTTGAGTCCGTCCAAGATCAAAGAAAGTCTTGGTTCTTTGTTTAACATGATCTTTCCTAAATCTTCGTCCCCGTCGAGCTCTATTTTAGCTGCCTTACGTTTAAGAGTTCCGGGTATACCGGTGTCTGTTATGTCTAAAGATTGAGCTCTTTCCAATGTGCCACTGCTAGACTTTCTTGTTTTTTGAATTTTGGTAAGATCGCCAGTACTGGCAGTTTTTCTATTCTCGCATTTCTCATCCTCCGTTTGGTGAATTGTTATATCGCTAGAGTTGAGTTCTATTGTGTTTACTGATGAATTATTGTCTGTTTCGACGTCTGAGTCCGAGTTATATGCCTTGGTATCATCAGAGTCCAGCTTATTAATTGTCATTTCTATGTCTTCTTTTAGAGAATGTATTTCGTTCAGGTTTGACTTGGTTTCGTTCATTGGTGGTGCAGGGGCTTTACCTTTGGATTTTTTAGGCATGTCGTCTTCTTTTTCTAAAATTTTATCAACTTTTTCAATTTCTTCGGCAGAACTCTTTCTATTTCTTCTTGCTGCGACTGCTGCATTAAGCATATGAGTCGGTATCTCTTGTGGTATTCCATTTTCGTCGCGTTTTATCCCTGAACCGACTCTCACAAACTCCTCGTTTTTTTCTGGAGTAGATTCCAATTTTTTCTCCCTTTTTTTAGCTTGTGGTGGCTTGCTTTTTAACTCGTCTACTTCATCTATACCTCGAATTGGCATCTCAATAACTTGGTGTTTTTCTATATTAACATTATTTTCGTTTTGTTCCGATGACTTTGGACTTTTTTGTTGATCCATCGGCAACACTCTAATCCCAAACTTCTGGTGTTTAGCTTCGGTTTTTTGCATCTCAGCATCAACACGTTGAGGTTTCACTTTTGGTCCCCCGTCAGATGATATCCTTTGCTCCAGCTGCATTTTAAGTTGCTCGGGACTTAAATGTTTGCCTGGAAGTTTTTTGGTGCGCATTTTGGGGGATTTCGATTCTTTCCGCTCTAAAGTTGTCATATTGCTGCGGGATTTTTGAAGGCTCGAATAGTTTGAGCTCAGGGATCCTGTGTGTTCCTCCCCAAAGAGGCGTTTTTTGGAGGATTTTTCCATCTAGATGAAAAGACGTTTAATTATGTGGATATATAAAATGATATTTAGCTTACTTGGAATAGATCTGTACACGAAGAGCTTCTATATACAGGGTGACTTGGTTGACCACCTTGTCCGCTCGTATGATGTATTAACTTTCCACTTCTAGCTTCTATTATAACCTCATAAGGACTAGCGTAGCTTAAAATAGTTAACGCGTCTTCATATACCATATGCTCGAAGCTAATGGTAACACTGTTTATTCTATCGCCTAAAACATTATTTAATATTATGGCTTTTAAATTGCTTTTTCATTTTATGCTTACCTGAGTTTAATTTTCCAGATTCAAAAGCTGGTCCTCTATGGAGTATATCCTTGATGTATATTCCTTCCTTCATATTTCCTTCAATATTAAATCCTAGACCTGTGAAGTCGTGGCTACGTAACGCTACCACTTTGACTTCGTTTCCCTAAAATAAATATTTTTTTAGTCTTATGCAAATATTTTTTTATATTTGTTTTACCTCGATGGCGCTATCGTCTAGGGTTTTTCTTTTTTCGTTTTTGGTCGATAAAGCATTTAATGGCGACCATTGATTCCATTTTGGTTTTGATTCTAGCTTTTGATTCTTTTCTACTGCTTTTGGGATTGCCAATATACTTGTGTCTAAAATAATTCAAATGTTAATATGAGAAGAAATAGCCTCTTTAAATGTCAGCATTTACACTTGACAATATTTTTGAAGAGTTTAATTTATTTAAAAATCAAATCAGGGAATGTAGGTAGGTATTATTGGAAATGCCTTAGCGAGATTTTTCTTCGTGTTTAATAGACAGCGTGCAGTTCAGTATTGGTTATTCACTGTTTTTAGCTTCAAGGCCGTGTAATTGCGATTTTTCTTGAATTGTTGATTTGCATTTAAATTTTACGACGAGGTTTTGTAAACAAACATTCTTTTATTATTCTTTTCTTTTTGCGAACGAGCATAGCATGTCTATAACGAGTATTCTTTATGAGATTTATTAAAATTCCTATATTTACCTTTAAAACCTGGATTGTCGAATGCGAATTCACCTTTGCCTTTTTCAGGATCTGTTTCCAATATAAGATGCTCTGAAATCAAAATAATTCAAATAAATTTTATTACTAGATAAAATTTAAACCTTAAATTGAATGGTGTTATGTATCAAGGAGCCAACCCTCACTTTTGGCAAAATTTTTGTGGTTCCTTCATTACTTTGTTAATTCTAGGTTCAACGGTTGGTTCCTTGTTGCTTATTGCCTATAAAGCAACAATGCAGCTTGGAGCTTTTTAAGAAGTGCGTTTGCAGTGTTCTGTGTTATTTTAATTTAGTATATACTAGATATCTTTCCGCATTTCTTATTGCTTAAAAGATGCCCATGCCCCCATAACATTATTACATTAAATGTAATTTAATGGAATTTTAAGGGTCGGTTCTCTGTTGCATAACACCATTCAATTGATACTCCTATTTCATTGTAGCTACTAAGTAATAATAAACACTAACGTAACTAACGTAAATAAAACTCAGAGTGTTTTATCTTTTAACAAGCTGTATTACACAGGTCTGTGCAGTTTTTTAATTAAAAACGCCAATTAATATCGACAGTAAAAAAGTTAGAGATATGTTATTAGAAATGTACAGTTCACAACTGTTATGTTCATAAATGTTGCAAGATTGTAAAAATTGCAAATTTATTCATTTTTATTAAATATCATAGATAGGAAACATGACGGGTTTTTACTTGAACATCCTGCATTTAATATTTATATTAAACGTAAAATTATAATTTATTTTAAATTATTGAGGAAATATAAAGGAAAATTTAGTCATTATCACCTTCTCCTAATTATTTTAATGCCTTACAATCACAAATTTAATAATAAAATCTTTCACTTGACATTAAATATAGTTTAAAAGATTTGCGTCAAAAAGTGAAAAATTACGTGATTTAGTTTTAAATTTTAATCCTACAAAATAAATACAATGTACAATCTAGTAGACATAGGCAACAATGCATGAGTGATCTTCCATTATACATATTTTATGAATTTATTAAAAAAACACACTACCCTATAATAACAATGTGTCGCAGTTATTAAAATTTGAACCACATTTAAGAATGTCAGAGCATAAAGATTAAAATATATTTTTTCTACTCCCACCTTTAAAACGCCCTTAATAGTACATGTTTTCATGTGACCTTTTAAATACACATTGACAAGTTGTGGCTTATGGCGCTTTAGTCACGGGCTGAAGTTAGCAACAGGTTTTTAGTCACGGGCTGAAGTTAGTTTTAAGTTAGTTGACAGTTGTCAAATGTCATACAATCGTTAAAATAAATTGCCGTTCTTGTAAAATAAAACTAAATATGAAAATTATTTTATTATCTCAAGACAAAAATACAAAAGTACTAAATAGTTTCTCAACGCCAATATTTGAAAAGTTTATATGAACATTGTACTGACCTTTTAATTTCGCCGGCAGTAAACTATAACTTAAATTCGGACACGGACTCCACTGTAACTTGCTCATAAAACATTTTTTTTACTTTCACTTTAAAAAACTGTCAATTTTTAAGAAATACATTTCGATTTATAACCTTTATAATCTGTGTTTATAAAATAAATTTTTTTTATATTTGACGGTGACACAGATTCCCGTATTGTTTCATAGATGGCGCTCTATACAAATTTTTGATTTAAATCATTTTAAGATAATAATAAGTATTTGTCGTAGAAAAAGTATAGTATGCACCTCGTTTATAAACTTTTCTATACACTCATTAATTTAAGAACTCGCTCGCAAGCTCGCTCGTGCCTAAATTAAATTCGTGTATAAAATGGCGTTCACAAACTTAATACATAATATACTATTATCTACTCCTACATTGACGAGCTGTGACTTAATAACGTTTTAGTCACGGGCTGAAGTTAGCAATAGTGGCTTTTGGGTATTTTAGTCACGGGCTAAATTTAGTTTTATTATAAATTGAGGAAAAGTGAGGTTAAATCCGTTGACAGGTGTCAAATGTTTAACAAATAAAATTGGCTTTTAATTCTTTTTTGTGTTTCGTAGATAAAGTATAGTATAAACTTCTCCAGACACTTGTTTTTATTAAACACTCGCTCGCAAGCTTCGCTCGTGCCTAATAAAACTCGTAACTAAAATGGCGTTTATAAAACTTGATACCTATAGGTTATTCCAATAGTATATTATGTATACATAATATACTATTGGAATATCAAAAGCAAAAATCAAATATCAATAGTGTTAAAACAGATTTTAGAATTTTAAAAACAATAGAATGACACCACTTATTTAAAAACGTCAAAGCATATTTTAGTATTTAAAAAGTCAAGATATAAAAAAAATTTTTGAATGCCAACACTTCATTTGCATTTTTAACCGATTTTTTAAAACTTTTTATGTTGGAGATATTTTTGAAAAAAACCTTAAACGTATGTCACATCTCACTTATGGCCAACTGTGATATCTTTTAGGGGTTAAAAATAAAAATATGAAGAATATCAAATACACAATATAAAAATAATTTGTATCCCGGCGCATGCACCATTTTTGCAAAACAATTTTTTATGTAAAACCGCATTTAAAATGGTAAAAAATAGTAAATTGTTAAAAAGGTGTTACGGTACATTCCATAAAAATGCGGACATGATGAGGAAAATCCTAAATTATGTAAAACAAATAAATAAAGTGGTTGTTGCTTAGAAACAAGATGCACAGCCCACTATACCATAACCTACATTAATTTGGGATTTTCCTCATATGTCCGCATTTTTATGGAATATCCCGTAACACCCTTTTTACAATATACTATTTTTAACCATTTTAAATGTGGTTCTGTCAATTTGGCAAGCGTAATAACTTATTCCTATATTTATAAACATTGTTATGTCACAAGGTATCAAGCTTAATATCACGCGAGTTATTAAACTTTTTGTTGTTTTTTTTTTTAAAACCAAATGAATGAAAAATTTTATTTGTATAAATTTCTTTATGCTTAACCTTGATCTATTTTTTTAGAGTAGTTTCATTGTTAAATAGACACGCAGAAATAATAAAAAGTTTATGGAAAGGTACACAGCAAACGAAAAATTATAGAAGTGTATAGGATGACTCCGCGTTTGAATATCAAATCTTAAAGTTTTATCATAACTGTATTGAATCGTGCTTTGTTTTTATATTTTTCGGCTCTATACCTATGCACGACTATATTTAAAGTCAAACTCAATGGTGTCTTACAAGATACATTATTTTGATTTTCTATATTCAACAGAGGAGTAGAAACTCGACCCTGTCGAATGGTGCAGTCATATATGTCTCTAGAAATTATTAAAAAAGGGTTCAGTCCAATGGTGCAGCAACTTCGGATTCCTATTCTCCTCAGAGACATAGAAACTCAAGCTTTTCGAATTTTACTGGCAATGATTTTCGTTAATGTCCCCGAGAATTATACAAAAACAGCGCAATGCAATATCGCAACGGTTTCGACTTCTCTTTACTCTACCAAGTTATAGAAACTGGAGTCTCTCTAATACTGTTCTAGTCAATATTTCTGAGAGTATAAAAAGAGGGTGTAATATTGCAAGAAGTTTTGATCTTTTGATGGATGAATTTTCTCATTTCTCCATATGATTTTGTTAAAAATAGTTCCTTTCTTTGGTTCCTTTGTCTGATTTTTATTTACCGTAACAACTCAGGTATGTAAAGCACAGAGGATATGATGTTAAGTATATTTATGTATTATATAAAGTACCTATATTTGTATTAAAAATTTAAGAGGTTATGTTGAAAAATGATCGATATGCTATTAAACTTTAATAATTTAGTAATTAGGTCTGTTGGTAGACCCTGCACTATCTCCACTGGTATATGTTAATTTTGTAATATTTAAATCTGGTTGATGAAAAAGTACACACCAGTGCAGGTTATTGTAGCATCTACGAACAAATGAATTAATGGCCCATTGGCAATTATTCCTTTAGGAAAAATATTCAACACAGCTTAATTAATTAATAAAATGAAAAAAATCACAATCATGTCGTATATAGTTTTTTTTAAGCATAAAATAATTTTTATATTAATACTAGTTCAAAAGTGAAATTACGACCTCTATACTGTGGAGAGTATTGAAACGCTCGACTGACGAATACAACTCTATACCGTAGGGAGATTTAGAAATCGATATTCAAACGTGGCGTCATCCTATACACCTCTATAATTTTCCGTTTGCTGTGTAAATCGGATGTCATTAGGATGTAACGCGAGTGACTGGTGAATTTATTTTCTAAAAATAACAATCTAAAAGTATTTTGTGATGTTGGTTAAACTTTTAGAATTAAGTATTGTCGTTTTACTGCCAAATAATATATCTGATTGTGACGCGATTGTCACAATAAGTTATTATAAAACGAGTTTTTCATAATATTTTGACTACTTCGACCATAATTTATAAATGAAATTAAATAAATCTTTTAAAAACAAGTATGTAGTTTAATTCATGTTACTAGGTTGGACAATTGACTTGAAGCGAAATAACAAAATTAAATATTTAATGTCAGTCAAAATAAAACGTAATAGTATATTACGCAACAAGTGTGGGAAGTGGCAAATTACGCATGAGTGGAAAAAGTTGCGCACGAGCGAAGCGAGTGCGCATTTCCACGAATGCGAAATTTGCCTTCCCACACGAGTTGTGTACTATACTTTTTCTACGACCACACTCTGTTCGCCTTAAAAAAAAATAAAAAATAAAAACTCCCAAAAATTTTAATTTATTTATGCTAATGAACCACTTACATTTTTTTATAGTAATTATTAATCTCGTATCGTTCGCGAGATTTAACAGGTAGTAAATTTTTGGTGGCAGCTTTTGCGCTATCAACAATCTCAGGTGGTGTACATAAACAATCCTGATCACTCGACATATCTGCTGTAAATAGAATATTATTTTAAAATAATTACGGTTTTATTTCAAAATTACTTTAATCGTGAAAATCTCAATTTTTTTGATAATTCTATTACAAAATTTTTGTGTTCAAGTTTCATCGCCGTACACTGACAATC